TTTCCATTTTTTGCAGTGTGAAAAGTTGCTCCAAAAAGGGCAAAAAAAAATCACACAGTGTAAACCCAGCTTAAGGGAACAATTAATTATCTTGTAGGAGTGTCCAACAGTTACCCATGGGCACCCCCCAGCCCCCTTCTAGCTTCATCCCTGGATTGTACAATAAATAGACTTTCAGACTTCTGGTAGAAAAAGCTGTTAAGGAACTTTTTCTTCTTATTTTTACAGGTTAGAGCTTTCACGTAAGGTGGAAAAAGCTCTGAAATTAATCTTTTTAAGTCTCCCAACATGACATTTTAACTTGGGCGGGCAGGTTGGATGGCAACCTCACTGAAATTTATATTTTTGGTCATATAAGTACCCCGAAAAGCACAGCATTGAGAGTGAAACCTTTTCTACAAACATGCAGGGCGTATCTAACCTCTTCCCTGTCCATATTTTAACATACTGGGCTTTTGCAATATATAATCACCTGTTTTGCTTTTAGTATTTAATCCCTCTGCTAAAAAAATCTAAGTAGTAACGCCATATAGGTTATATTATAAGTGTTATGAGGCAATTCAGGCAGTTTTGGTAGCAGAGTGGTTAAGAAAAAACTGAAACTGAAGGTATTAGGAAAAAAATAGAAGAAATAAATAAAGAAGCAGCATGTTTATACAGCTATAAGTGTGAACTTTAATACAAAATTCAGTGTGTGAACATGATATGAATATATCATAGAACTGAAATACATGTAAACACAATCTTTGTTTCCCCCTGGGGAACTGATTGTAAATACTAACGGTAACAAAAACACGTGGTACGGTTTGCTTCGTGTCATTTTAGTCAATGTCTTATTAGGGTGTCCGTTGTTGGTGTTTGTTCCATGTAAAATAACATGTTTCTGATTGCTTCTGTGTACGTCAGCATGTGTAGCTCTACTCATCTAGGAGATAAATAAAAAAGTTCAACCTGAAACTGATCTCAACTTGTCAGCTTTTACCGTGAAACTATTGAGAAACATTCAAATGAATTAGAGGGCGTTGCAGGAACGTCAGCAGCTGTGAGTGAGCAAAAAACAAGACAGACAAGCCAATCCTGGTGAAGAAAAGTGAAAAGATGAGGTGTGAGGATACAGAGGAAAATATGTCAGTTTGCCGCCAAAGTTGTGAATCATCCCTAATTTATTCATCCTTTCCTTAGTTTTTGTTTCTAAGGAGTGATCTGGTCCTGATATGTTTGAAATCCTTCTCCAGGTTTTAAAAAATTGCAGTTTTTCTTTTTGATGCTGGTGAAGATTCTTAGTCATGCAGGTCATAGTTATTCCAAAATATAACAAAAAACAATCCAATGGACTTTGTTTTCCAAGTTTAAAGACGTTTTGCTTCCCATCCAGGAAGCTTTTTCAGTTCAAAATGTCAGGAATAGCATTGAGTTCGTGGCTTTATAGAATGGACCAAAACAAGCGCATGTTTGGCTCTAAAAGGTAAAGCTTTATGCACAGCCCTACTGTCATAGTTCTGTTGTCAGTTTTAGAAATTTAACTTCTGTTTTCAGCAGAAGTTAAAGGAATAGTACACCCAAAACATGATTAGCCTTCATTTTCTACTCACCCCCATGCTGAACAACACTCTGGAGTACT